ATTTTTTAATAGAGAGGATTCAAGTTATCAAAAATATTTAGCATTTTTGTTGATCGAAATTGAAAACTGGAAATAACCTTATGGCTTCTAAACATTTAGAAAGATTTTAAAAGTTGGAGCATCCGGAATAGTTTAGTTATGGAAGGTAAGGAATACACAGTGAATAGTCACCGGCATGTTTCATCTTTGTAAAGATGACAACTAAAATACATTTAGCTGGTTTTCACTTAACTATGCTCTTGAGTGAGTTATTTCAACTAAAATTATCTAATAATATTTTTTCCATCACTGTAGAGATTTTAGTATTTCATCTATAAAGATTTTGGTCCTGATAATCTATAGATAAATTATAAATTGTCTTTCTTTTCTTTCTTCATATTCTTTGTTGAATTTGTGACCCAATTTTATCATTTCTTTAAACTGCATTGTGAATTAGAAAACACACCACTGCTAAAATTGACAGCTCCATTTCAAATGGCTCGCCTGTCTGGAGCACCTGCAGCTCCAGAAGGTTCACATAAACTTGCTCATATTCTTTCCTCACATGAGCTTTCTACAGATGCAGTCATCAGAAAGGACATGTTACTTACAAGGCTAGATAGAAGCCAAAATAATAATAAATAATAATAATAAATGTTTAATAGGCTGAAAATACAATGATACATCTCATAATTTTGGTTGAGAATCATGAAGATCACTCATAAGTAGGCACATGAACTTCTTTTTCATATTAAATAAATCAGTTAATGTAGAAGGTAAAATTGATTTGGAAGAATAGCCTGAAGTGTAACCTCCAGAAATTCATATGTGGAAGCCCCAACATGACTATATTTGGAGACAGGACTTTAAAGGAGGTAATTAAGTAATTAAGATAGGGCTTTAAAGGAGGTAATGATGTCATAAGGGTGGAGTCCTAATCCAGTAGCACTGGTGTCCTCGTAATAAGAGGAAAGCCACCAGAGCTCTCTCTTTCCACACATGTGCACTGAGAAAAAGCCGTGTGAGGAGAACAAGAAGGCTCCATCTGCAAGCCAAGGAGAGAGACTGCACCAGAAACCAACCTTGCTGGCGCCTCCGGCCTCCTGAATTGTGAGAAAATAGATTTCTATAACCGGCATCCAAATTGGAAAGGAAGAAGTAAAACTGTCATTATTTCCAGATAACATGGTACTGTCCAGAGAGAACTCTAAAGATTCCATCAAAAAAACTGTCAGAACTGATAATAAATTCAATAAAGTAGAAGGATAAAAAAATTAATATTCAGAAACCTGTTGCACTTTTATACACCAATAATGAACTAACAGGAAGACAAATTAAGAAAACAATCTCATTGCGATTGCATCAAAAAATAAAATAACCTAGCAATAAATTTAAGCAAGGAAGTAAGAGACCCGTACTCAGAAAATTATAAGACATGGAAGACAGAAATTAAAGAAGATACAAATAAATGGAAGCATATACTGCGCTCATGAATAGGAAAAATTAACATCGTTAAAATGTCCATACTACCCAAAGCAATTTATAGATTTAATGCAATCCCTATCAAAATACCAATGGCATTTCTCACAGAACTAGAACAAATAATCCTAAAATTTTTATGAAACCACAGAAGATCCCAAATAGCCACAACAATCTTGAGAAAAGAGAACAAAGTTGGAGGTATCATGCTACCTGACATCACACTATACTACAAGGCTATGGTCATCAAAACAGCACGGTACTGGCATAAAAACAGACACATAGATCGATGGAACAGGATAAAGAGCCCAGAAATAAACCCATGCCCATATAGTCATTTAATCTATAACAAAAGAGGAAAGATATACAATGGGGTAAAGACAGTCTCTTCAATAAATAATGTTGGGAAAACAGGACAGATATATGCAAAAAAATGAAACTGGACCACCTTCTTAAACTATATACAAGAATAAGATCAAATAGATTAAACACTTAAATGTAAGACCCAAAGGCATGAAACTCCCAAGAAAACACATAGGCAGTAAATTCTGACATTGCTCTTAGTAATTAGTTTTTCTGATATAGCTCCTTGGGCAAGGGAAACAAAAGAGAAATTAAACAAATGGGACTGATTACATTAAACTAAAAAGTTTTTGCACCACAAAAGAAACCATCGACAAAACAAAAAGACAGCATACTGAATGGGAGAAGATATTCACCAATGATACATCCAATAAGGGGCTAATATCCAAAATTTATAAAAAAACTCATAAAACTCAAAACCAAAAAACCAAACAATCCAATTAAAAAATAGGCAGAGGACCTGAATAGACACTTCAAAAAATACATACAGATGGCCAATAGACATATGAAAAGATGTTCAACATCACTAATGAATGCAAATTAAAACCATAATGAGATATCAGCTCACACCTGTCAGAACGGCTATCATCAATAAATAACAAATAACAAATAAATTTAAAAAAATAAGGGTTGGCAAGGCTATGGGAAAAAGGGAACCCTCATGCATTGTTAGTGGGATTGCAAATTGGTACAGTCACTATAGAAAACAGTCTGAAGGTTCCTCAGACTGTTTAGACTAGTTCTAAAAATAGAACTACCTTATGACCCAGCAATTCCACTTCTGGGTATTTATCCGAAGAAATCCAAAACACTAATTCGAAAAGATCTATGCATCCCTATGTTCACTGCAGTACTATTTACAATAGCCAAGACACAGAAGTAACCTAAGTGCCCATCGGTAGATGACTGGATAAAGAAGATATGGTACATATATACAATGTAATATTACTCAGCCATAAAAAAGATGAAATCTTACCATTTGCAACAACATGGATTATGCCAAGTGAAATAAGTCAAACTGAGAAAGACAAATGCCATATAATCCCACTTACATGTGGAATCTAAAGAACAAAATAAACAAACAAACAGAAACAGACTCACAGATACAGAGATCTATTTGATGGTTGCCAGATGAGAGGGGGATTGGGAGGCTGGGTGAAAAAAGTGAAGGGATTAAGTACAAATTGGTAGTTACAAAATAGTCATGAGGATGTGAAATACAGCATAGGGAATATAATCGATAATACTGTATCAACTAGAATAAATAGAGCCAGGTGGGTACTAATCGGGGGGATCATTGCATAAATTATGTAAATGTCTAACCACTATACTATTAGTATAAAATAGTATATATTAGTATAAAATACTATATTTCGTATAAAATAGTATTGAATGTCTACTATAATTGAAAAAAATTTTTCATTAAAAAGAAAAAAAAGAAATTTCGGTTATTGCAGCCACCCAGTCTGGGGTGCATTGTTATGGCGGCCAGAGCAGACTAACACAGATGGTTGTCTCTCTGCTCTGGAAAAATGGGTTAATGCTTCGTACCAGCTAGTCCTAGCCTCCAAAGCACTGGTTTTTAACAGTATAGATTTTTAACCTTTAACCAAATATTCTTTAATATTTAATCAAATATACCAACGTCATAAAGAAAAAATTTCCCCTTGCTCTGTATGTTTCTTAGTGGCTTTCAAACCTTTTAACCATGATCTACACTATTAGTATGTCCATATGCACGTATGCATATAAGATATAGAATGTTAATATAGACATGTGTGTGCATATATATATGCACCTATTTTGCAAAACAATACTTTTCTTAACTAACTATAAGAGCTATGTTCTGTTTAATTCTATTTTATTTAAAAAATGAATGCCTGTGTGTTTTTAAAAATCCATTTGAAAGAAAGCCGGTTTATGGCTACATGTTTGAGTTCTCCCTTTAGCCATCCAAAACATTTCCTATTTATAATTTCTTTTTTCTTTTAGCATCTCAAGATTTTAAAAAGTACATTGAAGTGAAAATAACCACAATATTCTCCACCTCCCTCCCTCTCTCCCCCTCTCTCTCCCTCTGATGGGAAATATTGGATAGCTTATTCTCTTTCTAATTACTATAGGCAACTTGGATATAAATAAGAAATTGCATGACTTAAGAGGTTTCAAATAAAATACTTGTTTGTAGAGAGAAAATAATTTTATTATTTCCTCTTATTCTATTTCTTTTGGATATAAGTTTAAAGAATAGTGCTTGTTGTATCAATCAAAGATTTTGACACTGGTGTCTCTTGGCCTATGAACACCGGAATAATGAAATGAAGGGGATAATTAAAGGAAGACAATGGGTACTGTAAGTGCAGGTTTTATAGATTTGTTGTCCTCTCAAAAAATTAGTAAATTTGGCTAAGACCCAGAAGCAAAAAATACAGAATTCGTTATAAAACATTACTCTGTCACACTCAAACTAATAGTACTTCTGGACCTGAAAATATTAAATCAGAATTTAATTTCAAAACTATAAAATTTTACAATCAAGATTTAAATTTCAAATTTTCCAAAGTCATGGGTCAAAATTCTAATGTTCATTTCTATACATAAAGTTGGTCAAAATAGGTAAAAGTTCTCTTTCGAGCAGCTGATATGTGTATATATGGAAACTGGCCATAACAGTACAGTTTTCGGATGTCTATGTGTGTGTATACATGTGCGCTTACACACATTTATGTAAACCTAAGAAAAAGGAAATAATACTGTAAGAAAAATTCAATATTATATAGTACATTCACTTTCCATGCTACTGATATCTTGACACAAATATTTTCTATTGTACTTTTCTTAATGAAATAAAATTTACTTTGTTCCTTTGAGGAAAAAAAGAAATGAAACAAAAGAAAGAAGAAAAAGAAATAATGAAGAAGATATTTTCAATTACATCTTTTTTCATTCAAAATTACAATTAGTATGTAGATGGTAACTGGCACATAGAAGTCTTTAGCAAGTATCTGTTAAAGTGAATGAATTATAACTCATATGATAGCCTCATACAGTAAATTCATACCAAACATAAACATTAAAAATTTAAATAACATTTAAATGTTTTAAAATCTTTATGTTAAAAAGACCCCTTTACTGAATTAGCTAAATAGAAGTGTTTTTACAACTGTTTTAATTCTCACCTCTTCCTTTGTCTTTTTTGATATCACTCGGAGCCAGTCTCCAATCATGCTCAGGACAGCCGCAAAATAAGCAAGTCCCACAAGGATCCAAAACCACACGACAGGCTTATAGAAGTCTAGATATTCAATATCTGATCCACCTGTGAGAAAAACAACACAGGAGAACAAAATCACTTCAAATTCATAAAAGTCCACATAGATATTTGCCAAAATTATCAATTGAATTTTGACTTGCGAAACAAAAGCTTCTTGTCAATTGTTCCATGTTATTTTTTTCATATGGAATTCCTCATTTTCCCTCATGTAATGATTTTGATTTAGTTTTCAAGAACCAGTTAAATAAGTTTTTCTTAATGAGGCACCTCATTACTTCTCCAGGTCATAATGATTTTTTTCTTGCTCCATGTTTCTTTTTTGCTTATTATACATAATCTGTCTTATAATTAGGTCTCTCATTTAGTATTCCTTGTGTACTAGTTTCTTCTTCCACCCCTGTTGTAACGGAAAACAGAGAAACATTTTTTGTTGTTTTTGGTATGTATTTAACTTAGTATATTTACCTTATTGCCAATCAATTCACACTGAACAACCAATTCAACGAGTGGTTCTTATTTTAAAATTATCGATTCGATGGATAAATAACAAATGTCAGAGACAATAACTTAGTGGGTGTAATTTGAACAAATAGTTATTTTCAGGTGAGACTGCCATTCATTATTGTCAGACTTTTCAAATGAATTCCCGTGTTTTTCATACATTTAAATCCCTAGCTCTCAAGAAAATAATCGGCAAAGGAGTTATTTTGCTTTACTTGAATCTTCATCACTTCTCCATCCATTTAGTACACAGTAACCTCACCTATGAGAATCTGCAAACATTTCAACACATCCCTATTTCAGCACATATTAATGAGCTACTTATTAAATCCCCAAAACTAAGCAGTTATTTTTTTTCACGAGAAAGGGAAAAAAGTCTCTCTCTCTTGAGAAATTCATAATTTAGCCTGAGAAATCTCCACATAGATAATTAACCATAATGGAGTATATCCAGAGAAAGAGAATAAAACAGTTCTAGTAGAGGACATAGAAGACATGATTTTCACTTCTGGAAGAGGGAAGGTAAAAAGAGAGAAAATGCATCTTAAATGATGAGGACCAAAACGGAGAAAAGTTCAGTGTGAAAATATATGGCATATTCAAAGGACTTTTAAGTAGCGGCTAAACCTACATAGGGATGGGGGCCAGGGAGCAGATGGGAGAAAGAAAAGAATCTAGAAAAAGTAAGTTGTGTCAGGATGTAAGGACTTATTCCTCACGCCGTGGGGAGTACGTACAAGTTTATAGACAGATAAGTCCTAAATTCATGTTTGAATATATGTGCAGAAAGATCTCGTGGCAGAGAAGGAAGGATTGACAGGGACGTCTTGTGAGAAACTTGCTCTGAAAAGCGAAGAAATTATTATGCCTGATGAGGGCTTGAATGGAAAGAAGAGGCATTTTAGGGGCAGCATGGTCAGGGACTGATCACCAGTTAGTTGGTGTGATAAGTGAAAGGAAATCTCTAGGATGACCAGAGACCTTTGCTTGGGAGATGGTGTCAGCAACTGAACAGGACACAAAGGGGAAGGAACAGTGGCTTGAAGAGAAGAGAAGAGAAAATAGAAAAGAGAAGTAATTTAATCTGAGACACGATAGGTTTCAAGTGCTTGAGGTACAAACAGGTAAAGACACCCAGTAGGACCCTTTAACACAGATCTAACACTTAATGGGGCAGAGCAGGAGATAAGGATTTTTGAATCAACAGCACAGAAACTGGGGATGTACAAGGATCAAGGATGTTCTCGATTTCCAAAAATTCAATCCATACAATCAAAAGAGCAGCTAATAACTAGCAAGCATACATTAGAATCGAATATAAAATTTTGACTATAACATTACTGTATATAAATTAGGGTTTAAGTTGCCTGCAATGACATTTTTTAAGTATTAAAGGATCAAAGGAAAAAGAGAACATTTTGCTATCAGGCAAATAATGTTAATAGACATAACTTCAGCTTTCATTTGGTACAAATCATTTTAGGAATTCGATTTCAAAGTAAATATATTACCTTCAAAATATTGTGAAATTTTTTACCTTGTGCAGCATTTTTAAAAATATCATTTCTGGGAAGGATTACAGAGGCTAAATGCATCTCATTATGGTTAAGACGTGGCCCATGGGAGATGCAACTCTACAAATTCACAGAAGCGACTTAAGAAATGTGTGTGGAAACTTGTTATATGATAGGCTCACTAGCAAATTCTATTTTTCAAATGTTTCCATTTCAATAAAACCCAAATGACATTTTTTCCAAGTACTTTCTCTTTCAAAACCAGAAAATCTTCATCCAAATAGTTGTGACTCACTTAACACTTAAATTCACCAAGATGTTGATTTTAGAAGTTAGTCCATGCTCAAGATGACTTTTTTATAAGTCTCCTTTCTTATAAACAGGATGTCACAGTTTGAAAAGAGTAAATTAGCTTAATCACTAAAAGGTTTATATTTGGATAAAATGTTTACCCCCACAAGTTTTAGCAAATTCTAAGCCACAGTTGGGGGATGTTGGGGAGTGGGGGTTCCCATTCTTAATTGCCACTCCTAAGATGAAATACCGGCCATCAAAAGATCTAGGAAAAAAACTAATGTATATGGGAGTATTGTCAAAAACTCACAACTCCTATTCACTTTCTAATATCTAAGATTTAGGAATTAATTTCCACATCATTCAATTCTCTTGATTCAAGAATCTTATCCAAATTAAATTATCTGTAATGTTAAGATAACTTGCTAAAAAGAATTCTTAGTTTTGTTTTCAAATTAGGAAACACTCAAAAAAATGTTTTTGTCTGTTTCGAGCATTAATTTTAGTCTGGCTACTCTGAGAAACCTGTCCATGGGTCTCTTGCTAGTTAAGAACTTAGGATAATTTCTCTGTCCTGGATTCATTCCTTATACACCCCCTGGCTCCATGTCCACTCAGCCACGCCATTATTATTTTTTCTTTCCACGGACTCCCGAGATGTGGCTTGCAGGATGCCACAACCCACTCTCTCTTCTTGGGTTCCTCACCCACTTGGCAGGAATAGCCACCTCATCGCTGTTTTCTTTGTTGCCACCGAAAATACACACACAAATCCTTTCCATTTTAAGAGTTTTTTTGGCTAATCGTTATAGGAGAGCAGACAGATGGCAATAAAAATAGCAAAGAGGGGTGGAAGTACAAAGGTTTCAGGAAACTTATAAACTTTTCCAAGTAGTTAAAATAGGTCTCTTCCTGACTCTCATATGATATGTGATGACCTCCTTTAAATGGTGCCATTTTCTCTCCAGATTTCTTCTCCTAGGTGCTTAAATAAGGAAATCAGCCAGAGCCTAATCTAATCTAGCAGATTAAATTATAGGTACTAAAAAGGTAGCCCAGCAAAGGTCAGGCTGGGATTACTGCTCAGAACTCATTCTCTCCCCAGACGGGTTTCCTAAACATTTGAGGGAAGCTACATTTTCACTCCTCACATTTCCACCGATTTTAGGACAGATCTATTACTAAGACCATTTGTGCGTTAATTTAAGCCATACCTCCAGCTGCATTTATCAGTAATTAAGATGGAAATTCAATTGCCATCACTCTTACAGTCTGTTCCAGAACTCGAGAGTGAAAGATTTACTGGCTCCCTGAAAAACCAACAGTAAGTGTCCCCACTGTGCAATAGAGAAGTCATAGTCTTGGTAGGTGTAAAAAACAAAAACAAAAACAAAAACAATCAACAAAATACGCATGTGTCAGGTCTCACAGAAAAGGAGGCAGCAGAGCTAGAATCGAACCCAGGCCTGCCTGGCTCCATAGCTCAGGCTTTTTCCATTGACCTGTCTGTTTACGTCACCTATGATCTCAGCTACTGTCCTTCCCATCACTTATCCACCAGCCTTGCCCGCCTCACACACACCCCTACACTGCATGGTAGACATGTAGCTAGGGCTGGAAACGCTAAATCAAATAAGATGTACCTCTTCTCTTCAGGAGTCTAACCTAGATACCAGGAGGATCTTAAGATAAGTACTATCTTATCTTAAGCAAGGCTCCTTACCTTGCTTCTGTCCTTATTCCAACAGCTTCCGGCAGGGGGCCCTATTTTGCTCTAAAGAGCTTGAGTATACAATGGTCTTTCCCCTTAAATTTAATTCTTTCTCTATGATGCTCCTGAGGCACAGAATACTTATCAAGGAAAAAAATAATAAGAGATATATCTTAGGAATCATCTGGCCATTCTGGACTAAGATTATCAATTCTGGATTTTTAAAATGATATATGTATTGTAAAATATAGAGAGAGACATATGACTTTGTTCTAAAGAAAATGGGGATTATTTCTTACACTGGTCTAGAAATATTAGAGTTTAGATATCAAATATTGATTTCAATTTTTGGAGTTTGTTTAACTTTATATTTATTATTCAAAGCCACGCTGCCTTAATGTAAAAGGAGAAAAAAACATTTTCTGTTTTAGCATATTTTTCTTTTTTTATAGTAAAGCAATTTAACTGAATGAAATATTTTCTCTGTGCTTCAAGAACTAATAGGCTCTTTCAGTAATGTTGTAAATTGTTTTCTTTTTAAAAAATGAAAATATGACTTCGGTACTAAACAACAGCTCACCTACTAAACCAAAACTTCTCACATACTATTAAGTCAGAAAAACACAAGACCAAAAAAAGTAACTAAACTTCTTTAGGATTTGAATCTATATTTTGGGATTTTCAATTTCAACATTCAAGAAGTTGGCCATTTCCTGCTAGGTACTTGATCTAAAATTAGGAAAACTACCATTAAAATGTCTCGTGATCATAAAAAAGAAGGATCAACCCACTTTCTCACTCACTCATCCTTTACGAGGATGGAACTCTACAGTATAAAAGATGTACACAATTGTTATCTCTAGAAATTACCTTTACGTCTCACTACGGAGCAATCTACTGGAGTCTTTTTCATTAAACTTAGTACAGTTTACTGCCTGCCTCCCTAAGCCATAACTATTAATCACTGAACGTTTTCCTTCTCTTTTTTCTTCCCCATATATTTCTCCGATGCTTCTGTACATCCA